AGTCCCTCATCCCTCCTTCCCAGGTTTCTACTTGACTCTGGTAGAGACCCGCTGGTGGAACCAGTTCGAGAGCTTGCTGTGGCCAGACCGACTCATGACGCTGGTGTTAGGCTTCGTGGAGGTCAAGGACGAACAAGGCCGGGCACTGCGTTGCAGGCTTGTCATCTGGGCCAAGTGCTCATCACGCGCAGCGTCAATATCGCAGTCTACATGTGCTTGCCCAGTCTCGAACACCGGGTGCAAGCAGGTGGCTGGTGATCTGGAGTGGGCGGGGCACGGTGGCGGGTTTGAGGGGAGGCGGAGTCAGAGGGGAGGGGCGGGAGCTGAAGATGGGTGGAGCCAGAGTCTCGCGGACTTGGGGACACAGTGGGGGTACAGGTGGGGTGGGAGCAAGACTGGGGTGGGAGCAGAATTGGGCGGGGCAGAGTCATGTGCGCAGTCATTTTTTTTGTGTGTTGAAACAAGGAAAGTGATAAAATTGCGCGGAGGTCCTAGGGGCTGGCAGCATCACCAGGTGCAGGCCATCTCTCTGCAGGTTCTGTTAGTGGCTACCTTCACCCTACCCTACAGGTTTTATGATCCCCGGTGAACATAAGCAATTGCAGAACTTGGGCGTACCACACAACCCATTCTGGGCGCCCTGGATGTGGTTTTCCAGCCTGTTAATGAAGGCCTGGACTGGAGGTTGAATCCGGGACCCTATTCTCCAGAGCATGATGACCGAGAGCCCACAAATGGGATGTAGTGGGAAGGGCTGCAGACCTTGACTACCTTCCCAGAGCCTGTAGTGCTGGTGTAGGGTATTTTCTAACAGGATTTCACACCCTGACACGGCCACTCTCCAAACGTCCATTTTATCCCTTGCTGAGTGAGCTTGTGGTCTTGGTTGTTTTTTGCTAGAGGAGGCTGAGGCTATCCTCAGTGAACTGTCTATGACCACACAGCCGAGGCTGTGCCACAAATCTCATTGCTTTACACCTGGGGAAAAGCAATGGGTGAGTCTGGGGGAGCAGACTCCCAGTCCTTCTCTCCTGCCCTTCAGGAGATGGGCATCCTGCATAGTCAGTGTAGACAGCTGTATGCCTATGGCTGGATCAGTATTCCACTGGTGTACACATGGGTGAGGAATAGACTGGTGAGGCTGTCCCTGGGGGAAAACTGAGGCTTTGAGGACCCAGAAAACACACCTAGAGACTAAGTAAAAAGTTCACCTTGGGAGTCAGGTCTGGACTTGGAAGGTTTTTTAGCATTAAATTCAAAGCATCTGGGTTCCTGACTGGTCCAGCCCACTAGAGGGAGTGAGATCACCCTCATCTTAAAGAGGAGCAAACAGCTGGGGATGTAGCTCAGTCTGTAGAATGCCTGCATGATTCCATCTTCAGCACTACGTAAAATTGGGTTTGGTGGCACATGCCCATATTCCCAGAACTGAGGATCTGGTGGCAGGAAGATGAGAAGTTCAAGATCATCCTTGGCCACCAGCCTGGGCTACTCGAGACCTGTCTTCAAAATAAATAAATTAACAGAAAAGAAAGAGGAACAAACAGAGACCTATTCACGAGTGTGAAGGTCAAAGCAAGGCTTCAGACATCCATCCCGAGAGCTTCCAAGTCCAGGGTCCCTACTTAGCCTCTCTGTGCCACCTCTGCCTTTTCTCCTTGCAGAAGGTGACAGTGGCAGTGTACAGCTTCTTCTTTGCATGCCTGGTTGGGCGGCAGTTTCTGAACCCAGCCAAGAACTACGCAGGCCACCAGATGGACCTTGTGGTGCCTGTCTTCACAATCCTGCAGTTCTTAGTCTACATGGGCTGGCTGAAGGTAAGTCTCTCTGGACACCACCCTCCCCTCTGCCATAGGCATGGCCAGAGGGGTCATGGCCAGCACCTACAACCCAGGAAGAGGACAGGTAGAAGGAATGGAAGGTCATGTATATTGTGCATACATGAGCGCACACGCAGAGCTATTCTATGCATAGCATACACAGCTAATTATCTGTCCGTCTGTCCATCCATCACCTATTTATCTATATATTTATTTAATTATGATATATACACACATAGAACCATCCATCATCTATTTATATATTTATGATATATACATACATCCATCTGTCATCTATATATTTAATTATGATATATATACACATAGAAATGCAGTCACATCATACAGAGCTAATCTATCTTTATGTATATATGTATATCATATACACACATGAACTATTCTCCAATCACATGACACACAAAGAGGTATTCTCTTAATCATGTCATATACAGAATTTTCTTCCATATATATCATATATACATGCACAGAATTATTCTATGCATATCATATACAGAACAATTCTATGCATATATAGGTGGATGCTCCACCTGTGTGAGCCCTATACTGTGGCTTTGGAGACAGTTGTCAGGCAGGAAGACCATCGTGGGGGAGTGGAAACGGCAGGATCCAAGGTTGGAGGGTTTGAAGCAGAGTACCAAGGTTCTCAGAACCTCATCTGTCTCCTGTCCCCAAGGTGGCGGAGCAGCTCATTAACCTCTTTGGAGAGGATGATGATGATTACAAAACCAACTTTATCATTGACAGGAAACTGCAGGTATGGGTGGAAGGAGGGGACCCCTCTCAAACTGGATCCAAAGAGGGGGACTCGGCAGTTTCAGGGAGACCTACCTCACAGTGACTTGTCCTCCCCTCCTCTAACCCCACCCCTTTTCTCAGCCTACAATTCACTCACTGGTGTCTCAACTTTTGAAGCTGTAAAGCATAAGTCTTTCTGGTATCACAGGTGGGGAAACTGAGGACCAGAGAGAGCAAAGTCACTTTGCTTAGTCATCAGGCAAGTTCACAGTCCTGCCTTGGCTGCCCTTTCCATTGGATATCCCCTTCTGTCTTTGGTGATCAGGTGTCCCTGTTCTGTGTGGATGATGTGCATCAAGACCTACCTCCACTGGAGAAAGACATGTATTGGAATGAGGTACCTTACCCCCCCCTACACAGCTGCTTCTGTCCAGCACCGGAGACCTTCTTTCTTGGGTTCCACCTTTAACATCAGGTGGGCAGTGCGAGGGAACTGGGTGGGAAACCCCTTCAGTGTAAGGCTTGACTAATATCTTGGAACAGCTCTTGTTAATACACACTGGGTACCCAGTAAGGGCTGGACAGTGGACTTATGCTCTTTACAGACATTAACTATTTTCTCCTCCTATGGGCGGGTCCCATGTACCGCATTGCTGCTTGGGTCCCTGGCTCTCCGCGTTGCTGGGGTGCGCGTGTGTCACGCACCGCGTTGCTGAGGCTCTCCACGACTACTGGATGCTGGCGACTCTACTGATCGCTGCGCTCCTAGGTGGGTTCCGTTCCAAGCTACTGGCACTCCCTCTAGGTTCGAGACCCGTCGGCCGCCGGGTCACGAGGGGAGGTGCGGGAATGGCGAAAGCAGGGGTCTTCGCGAGTCGTTGTTTACGAAGGGACAGCCCCCTCTGGAGAGACTGAATCGTAGGCAATAAGACACAGAACTCAGCTCAGTCAGACTCAGTGGTACAGCTCCTTTATTCAGTGACTCAGCTCGGCTCCAGGTCTTAGTGATTCAGCTCCGATTAATTAAGGGGAAACCAGGATATTTATAGTGTGGGGGCAGTAGCAAAAGCCTTAGTTGATAGGTGCTTTGTAGGATGCCCCATTTACATGTGGTGGTGGGCTTCCACCAGGCTGCCAGACATTGCCTGATTATCACACAGGAAAACCTGGCAGTTCCTATGCCAGAGGCCATGTATCTGTGATGGCCACTTCAAAGATGAGTCAGGAAGAGAGTAGGGGGTGCCCTGCTGAGAAAAGGAGTCCTTCCATTCACGCTGAGCTGGCATGCGGCTATCCGGACATGGAAAGACTACAACCCAAAACAGCAGGAGTCCCCAACATCTCCCCCTCTTTGATTTAAAAATGGATAAGTGTCATCACAAGCCCTAAGGGCCAACTCATCTATCTTGGGAGAATCCAAAGTCTGATAATTGACCATGACCTGTTTTGTAGTGATTTTAGCAAATGGCAGTAACTGTCAGCAAAGAAATCTTATAAATAGTGAGCCAGTATCAAAATAATATACAGTATTATCAGGGGGCAACAAGGGTTAGGAGCCATGCAAACAAGGGATTGCTAAGCCAGCCTAATTGTTTGGTGGGTTGAAATCTTGAAAATAGATCATTTACAGAGTTTTTTGAGAGTGTTAACATTGGTTTCAACAACATTTGATTCATTTACAAAGAAACTTGGTTCAGCTTGTCTTCAGCCAAGGGCGGAGTCGGTACAGTGTGTTGTCATGGCAACATCTCCAGCATCCAGTGCATGTTCGGTTCTGTCAGTAGGGGGAAGAGGTTCTTTCTCTGCTGACAGCTCCTGGGATGCAATTGTTGTTATATAAAGGTGGATAAAGAGAAATTTACACAGTTTTGGGCTTTTCCTCGCTCTATAGGAAAAGACTTGGGAGGCTTGCTGCTGAAAATGTAACTGAATAGTTAGTTAGCTGTTTGAATCCACTTAGATGAGAGTCAGTGAAGTCTTTTTCTGCTGGCAGCTCCTGGGTAGAGAAGGGTGGTAGCTGGTACTGCTGACAGCAAAGATCTCTTGCTGGATGCACACAAAGGTATTAGACATTGGGGTAGATGGTGAAGGGAAGAAAGTTAGACTTGTTCCAGGACATAGTTGATCTTATCTGATCCTCTGTTTGTCTTTCCTGTAGAATAATATTATGATGAGTTAGCACAGACATAGCTGCAGGTGCAAGATGTGGATAGATATGAAAGTCAGCTGTGGGGTACCTAGAGAATGTACCTGGGTAGAATTTTTTTTTATTATTCCAATACTCCAGCGATTGTCTCATGGATCTGATTTTTTCCTGAAAAATAAAATCTCTAGCACATGGTATTAGGGAGAGTGGGGCTGACTGAAGCACTGCTGTTTAAGCAGGGTAAAGACAGCCATGAGGATGACAGAAAAAGAAGCTCTGGGGGGATATCTGTGGCGTGCAGTTTCCACTAGGTCATGGATCTCTCTCCACGTGATCCGGTGTGGCTTTGGGTGACGTCTCTGCATCTTTCTTTTCTTTGTCTCTGTCAGGGTCATGTAAGCCATTTTCTTCGTGGGCGGGGAGGTATGGGACATTTCTAGCTGGAACCCAGATAGGCTTTTGTTGGTCCTGTGGAAAAACACAAGCAAATCCTCTCCCTGTGGTCAACAAGGGTTATGGTCCTTTCCAGAGTCCATCAAATGGGTCTCTCCATTAAGACATTTTGGGTGGTACTGGGTGTGTTTGAGCCCAGTGTCGGGTGATGGGAGGAGCATCTGTCCCTCTATATACATTAAGTACATTAAGGGTAAACAAGGCTAATGTTAATTGAATATTGGGAGAATATGTTGTTTGAGCCTGTCTTTTTAATTGGTCCTTTAAGGTTTTGTGTGACCTTTCCACAATGGCTTGTCCCTGTGGGTTGTATGGGATGCCAGTGGGATGGGTGACTTTCCACGCTTCACAAAAATTTTTAAATGAGGAGCTTGTAAATGCTGGGCCATTGTCTGTCTTTAATTGTGCAGGGAGGCCCATAATGGCAAAGAATGAAAGCATATGATTTATCAGCTTTTTTGAACTTAGCCTGCATTAGGCATTCATGTCTAAATAAAGCCTCCCATTGTACAAATAATGGACTGGGGAGGGTAGATCTACAGATATCTCTCCAGTCCTGGGGGGTTATGAGGTTAGTATTAAATGTTTGTAGTATAGATTTTGTCCATGGAGCATGGATCCCATCCTCACGAACAGCTTGGAGACAGGTACAAGCCTTAGCTTGCAGACTGCAGAAAAATAAAAAAAGGCCTTTTTAAATTTTTTGTTCGGTGCGAGCCACCTTGAACTTTCAGGTGCTCCACAGGGGCTAGTTAATTTAAATTCTCACCTAACTGGTTTTAGCTGTGGTCTGAGTGCCCTGGGGGGCAGGATAACAAAACCGATTAGGGAAGTTTACCTTAGAAGCTGACTCCAAGGCTTATGTGAAGATTCCTTAGAACTTTTGGGATTTTTCTAGCGGTGTTAGGATAGGAAAGTAGTGAAGTGATGGTTTCCAAGAAAACGTGCCTGAGATCAAAATCTCAGGTGATTTTGCTTGGCTCCCAACACAAGCCGTCCCGCAGATTTAAGAAACTGGTGGCCATCCTAAGGACTCTTAAGTGGCCACTGCGTCACCAAGTTTTTATATTAGAAAGATGTTTAGATAGAAGGTCTTTTGTCTACACCTGTGCAGGCAGTCAGAGGTCGTTAGGGGGCAGAGAGACCTTCAGCTAACGTCAGGGAGTAGCCCTGACCAGGAAGGTTCAGTTGCCTCTCTGTCTTTAACGTCCTCACATGAAGACTTTAGACCGGAAACAAAAGGAGGAAAAGGACTCTTATGTGGCCGCTGCGTTACCAGGTTTTTATATTAGAAAGATGTATAGATAGAAGGTCTTTTGTCTACACCTGTGCAGGCAGTTGGAGTCCGTTAGGGGGCAGAGAGGCCTTCAGCTGACATCAAGGAGTAGCCCTGACCAGAAAGCTTCAGTTGCCTCTCTGTCTTTAACGTTCTCACACGAAGACTCAGTCTGGAAATAAAAGGAGGGAAATAGAAGAGACTGCCAGGCCCCAAAAGTGGGGTGGCTTGGAGCACAGCTGTCTTTTTATTCTCCTGATGGGAGATGAAAGAAAGAGAGATTTGCCAAGCCCCACGAGTGGGGTGGCTTGGGGGCACAGCTGCCTTTTTAGTCGCCTGATGGGAGATGAAAGAAAAAAAGAGATTTGTGTTGCTCTCCTGTATGGGCGCTCAGGGATCTCAGGGCGCCAGCTGCTGGGCGTGGCACCAGTCTCCTGCATGCACCTGGGGTACGGCGGGTCCCGCACTGCATTGCTGTGGGTCTCTGCTACCGGGGCTGGCCTGGTCGGGTTCCATCCCAATTTCCACCGTGCACTCCCTCGAGATACGAAATCCACTGGCCGCTGGATCACGTGGGGATGTGTGAGGATGGCGAAAGCTGGATTTCCGTGAGTCGATGATGGAAGGATAGTGCCCCCTGGGGAGGCTGGATCGTAGGCAGTAAGACACAGAACTCAGCTCAGTCAGTGGTTCAGTGACTTAGCTCAGCTCCAAGTCTCGGTGATCCAGCTCCAATTATTGAGGGGAAACCAGGATATTTTATATTATGGGGGTGGTAGTAAAAACCTTAGCTGATAGGTACTTTGTGGGATGCTCCATTTACACGTGGAGGTGGGCTCTTGCCAGGCTGCCAGACTGCCTGAAAATCACACAGGAAAGCCTGGCAGTTTCAGAGCCAGAGGCCATGTTTATGATAGGGCATCTGTGGCGGTCACTTCACAGATGAGTCAGGAAGATGCTGGGAAGGCACCCTGCTGATAAAAGGAGTCTCTGCATTTGAATCCGAGCCCGTGGGCTTTCCGGACATGGAAAAACTGCTACTTTACACAGCAGGAGTCCCCAACACTCCTGGTGGGAGAGATACTCACGAATTCTGCGTTTCAGGGGGCGCCAGCTGCTGGCTGGCACGGAGTTCAGAGGCTCTCACGTTGGGCACCAGATATGGGTGGGTCCCACGCACCGCGTTGCTGCTCAGGTCCCTGGCTCTCCACGTTGCTGGGGTGCGCGCGTGTCGTGCACTGCGTTGCTGAGGCTTTCCGCTACTACTGGATGCTGGCGACTCTACTGGTCACTGCACTCCCAGGTGGGTTCCGTTCCAAGCTACTGGCCCTCCCTCTAGGTTCGAGACCCGTCGGCCGCCGGGTCACGAGGGGAGGTGCGAGTCGTTGTTTACGAAGGGACAGCCCCCTCCGGAGATACTGAATCATAGGCAGTAAGACACAGAATTCAGCTCAGTCAGGTACAGCTCCTTTATTCAGTGACTCAGCTCAACTCCAGGTCTTAGTGATTCAGCTCCGATTAATTAAGGGGAAACCAGGATATTTATAGTGTGAAGGCAGTGGCAAAAGCCTTAGTTGATAGGTGCTTTGTAGGATGCCCCATTTACATGTGGTGGTGGGCTTCTGCCAGGCTGCCAGACATTGCCTGATTATCACACAGGAAAACCTGGCAGTTCCTATGCCAGAGGCCATGTATCTGTGACAGCTACTTCAAAGATGAGTCAGGAAGAGAGTAGGGGGGCGCCCTGCTGAGAAAAGGAGTCCTTCCATTCGTGCCGAGCCGGCATGTGGCTATCCGGACATGGAAAGACTACAACCCAAAACAACAGGAGTCCCCAACATCCTCCCAATAACCTGTTTGATCTCTGGTTTCTAGAAAATTAAGTACAGGTTCAGAGAGGATAACCAAGTAGCCCAACCAAAGTCACATAAGTAGCAACAGACATACTCAAGTCAGCTATCTGGTTCTAACCCCACACTTTATTTTTGAGAAAGGACCTCATGTAGCCCAGGGTGCCTTCAAACTCACTGTATTGCTTAGGATGACCTTGAACTCCTGATCCTCCTGTCTCTGCCTCCTAGGTGCTGGGATTACAGGCAGGCACCACTTATTGGCTGTCTTTTGGTGTTTTGTTTTAGACAGTGTCTTGCTATGGAGTCCAGCATGGCTTGGAATTCCCTAACATCCCAGGCTGGCCTTGAATTCACTGTTCTCCCATCTTAGCCTCTCCAGTGCTGGGATTATAGGTGTGAACCACCATACTAGGCTCCATGTCCACACTCTTAACCTCAACTGTGCTGTGTTAGGCCTTTCCAGTCCAAGCTCCCCTCCCTTGTCCAGAGATGGAAAAATAGGCCCTAAGAGAAAAGGGACTTATTTAAGGGAAGCCAGTGATCAATGACACAGTGGGACTTGCTTCGTAAACTCTGACCAGACAAACTAGGATGTTTGGGTAGGAGTGGAAGGATTCCCTGGGGGTAGGGGAGAGTGAGTGAGGAGTCTCGGTCATCATAGACCCTCTTAAATAGACTGTCCTACAGAGCCAAGGCCTCAGTTCACCCACTGCTGCCAAGCTTTCCTCTGCACAGTCATATTTTCCCCTCATTCCATCTGAATTCTTCCTAGCTGCAGTGGGCTGAACGAACTGTCCCATACAGTCCTCTGTCTCCAGGATAACGAAGTGGAGAAGGCTCTAGAGAGTGCTGGCATGTGTTTGCACTGTGTGTGTGTTCCGTCCTGTTCTCTCTTTGCTCTTTTTACAATCCCCAAAGAGCCTATTAAGCTGAAATTATAATGAACTAGGAGCATTTTTGGAGAATGCCTTTGAACCCAATATAGCCTGAATCCCAGGATTTGAAAGTTGGACTGCAGGAGGGTGAATAACAGAGCAGTCATGAATGCGTAAGCCCTGCCTCCAAGGAACATGTACCTTAGTGAGCAAGTTCCAGCCCAAGGCCCAAAGACCTAGGCAGGACATAGAACACAGGTTGCCTTTGGCTAAGAGGTAGCCTCTTTCTGAGCCAGGAGCTAGGTCTTTAGAAAAAAATAGTTATTATTTTTATTTTATGTGTATAGCTTATTGCCTGCATGTATGTAAGTACACCTGTGTTGTACAATGCCCATGAAGGTCAGAAGAGGGTGTCAAATGCCCTGGGACTGGAGTTATGGACAGTTATTAGACACCATGTGGGTACTGGGAATCGAACCTGGGTCTTCTGCAAGAGCAGCCAGTGCTCTTAACTGCTGAGCCATCTCTCCAGCCCTGAGGAACTAGGTAGGTCTTAGAGCCAGGGAGACTATGGATATGGGTAAGGGCGGGCTTCACTCTGGGACAAGTAAGCTTTCTCTTCCAGACTAAAGGTCTTGTGGCCCCAAGATGTCTGATGCCAGGATGCCAAATGCCTCTTGGTAGATGTTGCTCCACAGTAGGAACCATAAATTCCTACTCCCACCTAGACAGTGCTGGGCCTTCTGTGATCTACCTGTACTGGGAACAGAAGTTCATTCCCATTGGCTGTAAAGACAGGTTTTAACAGAAGGAAGTGGCTGATGAAGAGGAAGGCAGTGGGACAGGGATGGCTCAGTTACTAAAAGCAAGGAAGCTTGAGTTTAATCCCTGGAACCCATGTAAACATGACAGGTGTGGTGGCATGCATTTGTATGAGACGAGGGATCCCTGGGATTGATGGCCAGCCAGTTTAGCCTAACTGGTGAGCTTCAGGCCAATGAGAGACCCTGTCTCAAGGAAGGTGGTATGGCCTTGAGGATGACACCCGAGATTGTCCTCTGGCTTCCACATATGCACATATGCATATACAAGTACCCAGACACACAAGTCTGGCATGACTGGCTGAGGAGTTGGATGTTACCAGTGGGCAAGACAGAGCCTAAGGACAGTGAGGTGAGCTGGGCCTTGAGGAACTCACTGGGAAGTACGGCTTATGTCAGGAGAGGTGAGGATGGGGCACTGGGAAGGCTGTGCAGCCTGGGCAGGGGCAGGCATGCTTCCATCCTTCTGTCTTCCCACTCATCATGTGCACCACTTTTCCTTCTAGCCTGCAAGAAGACATGGTGTTTCAGCGAGGAGGAGGAAGAGGAGGCTATTGGCTGCTTCCTAGGACAGCAGTCCAATGACCACCATCCTCCCAGAACAGACTCACAGACCAAACTACTATGGTCCAGGAAAGAATCCAACAGCCAGCCTAAGAATGCCAAGCAGAACCCTATGGACCAGGAAGACAACGGTGCCTGTAAACTTAAGGGGCTGGATGCCTTTAGGTCTACTTCAATGTTTGAGAGGCCAGTCTACCACAGTGCCCCCCAGACACCCCTCAGTCATACTCCCATGGTCTTCCCTCCTCAGCAGGCAGCACTCTCCAAACCTTACTTAGTCTCTAAAGCCAACAACTCAAATTGGCCTATGCCTTCTGGAGCCAAGGACACTTTTGAATTGCTCCAAGGTGATGGGGCTTCCATGGAGCACCCAGAAGTAGGTCCCAGGAAGAGGAAAACTGTGGAGTTTAAGCTGGATATTCCAAACAGCCCCAGAGACCATCCCAAAGAAGTGCATTTCGACCAAGTGCCAAGCAACACACACACTATACTCAAAGAGTATGTAGATCCCCCTCCTGCCCCGGAAAACAGGTCTGTCCACCCAAACCAGGGCCTGCATTCCCTGGAGCATAGTTCCATTTCTCCGAGCCTTCCTCCACAATTTCCCAGGATTTCATTAGTCAGTGTATGGGGGAAATCAATAGCCTCACAGGGGCCAGCCATCTTGGTAAGAACCCTGAGAGGTGATGGAATGCTTTTATTTACTTCAGCTGAGTTTGACATGAATGCTTTGTGAGAAGTGAAGAAAGATTGCCCTGACAACGTGCTGAAGGGCTTCCTCAGGCTTAGATGGGCCAGTGTTATCACTGGGGTCAGTTCACTTTCTGTAGGGATGGCTGACAGCCATGAGGTAGAACTCAAGACTCTAGCCAGGCTATAGCCCAAGAACTGAACTCAACTGCCCTGTTAGCTAGATGGTAAATCCAACACTTGTCCAAAGCTCGGCATGGTGGTAGCCAGCTCTCCAGAACAGGTGGTGGGTGCTGCCTTACCCTGTGGCAGTATAGCTTCCTGGGATGCCTTCTCTGTGCTTTTGGTGACCTCACCTAATACTTTCAAATTTCATGCTTCCTTAAGCCTAAACTATTTCCCTTTATTCTAGATCTCTTGAACACCTTTGCAGTTAGCAATTCTATCCCCATCTCAATCACATGGGTTAGTAACATAACTTCCCACTTCCACTCTCTGAGGTCATCACTTTTGTTTATAGAAACCAAAAAGGGCAACCATTTCAGACTCACTTCTAGAGCTAGACATTTTTACAAACTACCCCGGTCTCTGAAGGAAGGAATGTGTAAGGCCCGACTTGATTTTTGCCCTACTACAAAACTAAGCCTTACACAGAAGTACCTTCCACTCACGTGCTGTGAACTTTCTCAAACCTTCACAGGGATGATACTGGCACTCTACAAGTTTCCTAAGTGTGATGCCTCACAGCCGGGTCCTCACCTCCATGGATGCCAGCAGGATACTGACTCAGAGCCACACAATTGTCTACACCCAAGAGTATGTTCCTGGACAGTCTGGCATGTAATTCAGAATCAGGAGTGTTAAGTCCTGTCTGAATTCAAGACACCTGTACCTTGCTGTCTCTCCTCAACTAAGTTCAGTAAATATAAATACTTCTAGGTGCTTCAGTGTGGTCAGTGTATCTGATATGGAAGACAATGGAAAATGGCATACTTGCCCCCACAATGTGGTTTGTCTCAGTCTCAAAGACAACAGCTGGGTACCAAATTTCTTTATTTGAAGGAACGGTACAAATTAAAGAACTTAAGCAGATGTTTTGGTGCGACTTATAGAAAAGGGAAAGGTAGCCCTGACATGCGTGCACTGCCTCAGTGACTTGTGAAGTCACTCCGTGACTTTGGGGAAGTCAGCTTAGCTCTTGTTATCGTGTCCCAGGGTGTGCTTGTCAAAGAGATATTCTGCCATGCCAGATTCAGTGCAAGTTGGTTATGTGGTCACCCAGTTCTTTGATGGATTTCACCTGCTCATTCAGGTAATGAGCCTCAATGAAGTCACACAACTAGAAAAGAGAACATGGGAGGTTACTGATAGCTCTCCCAAGCCCTGTGGCAAATAATTCCCTCCATTTACCCCTTTGGTTCCTAATACTCACATGGGAGTCATTTTTGTCAGTGGCCAGTTTATGCAGTTCCAGTAGTGACTGATTCACACTCTTTTCCAAGTGCAATACACACTCCATTGCGTTCAGCCTGCTCTCCCAGTCATCCCGGTCTGGTTTCTGCATGAAAGGTTTGGACAATTCATCTGAAGATCTAGTCTAGTATGCTGACTAACACCATGCTCTGGGACAGAAGGGGCATCTTAAGCTTCCTCTGACAACAGTTTTCCATGGAACATGCTTGCTCATTGCTGTTTGCCTATGGGTATGAGCCCAAGAAGGTACAAGGGCAAAAGCCCAGTGTGCCAAGTGACTGCTCCTCTGTGCTGCACCCCCAGGCCGTTTGCTCACCTTGATATCCTGCAGGTAGATACAGCCACCACGCTGGTTCTGCAGCTTCTTGTCATGTTCCCTCTCCTCATGAGATTGGTGGAGGAAGTATTTGGCGAAGTTCTTCAAAGCCACATCATCGACGTTTAAGTAGCAAGACTGAAGTGGAATGGGTACATGTTATGGATTCCCACAGGAAGGCAGCTCAACAGACTGTAGTTAAAGGCTGTTTGCTACTCTAATTTGCCTTTCTCAAAGCACTGTCCGGCTGAGTTCGAACAGTAATTTATTTCATTCTGAAAGAGAAAACTGAACCCGAGTCTTTAAAGAGCCTTTACCTTATCATGGGAATTGCCTCTAGCAAACATTCTATGGTTCAGTACTAATGCACAAAAATTTCTTAAGCTAGTGCCCAAATCTGCTCTGAGGGGCAGGGTGCTGGAGATCCTGCACTGGTTGTCAGTTTTTCTTCTTTCCTGATCATGTTAAAACAGCTAAAATAGCCCACAATCTTGGCAGCCAGGCAGCAGACCACTGAGTAGAAAAAACTTTATTATTATTTAAGTTATATATGTATGTATGTATGTGAGTACATGGTATGGGAGGTCCAGAGACCAGAAAGAGTGACCCAGACACTAATGCCTGTTTCATATTCATTTGGAATATTTATTTTTGGATAATTTGCACATTCACAAGGCAATTGGAAGGATGACTCCCAATTCCACGGATTACTGCACAGAATCTTTCCTTGACCAGTAAACTGGTGGTGGGCTTTCTCCAGCCACTACCACTTCAGAGCCACAACTCACCAAGGAAAAAAAGATAAAGTACCCTGGAGGCCTTGGAGGTGCAAGGTCAGGTGACGTTGATGACTGCATATGGGGAGATTGCTAGAGGTAATGTTTCCATACCAGTGGGGCTCTGTAATAAGCAGAATGGAGAGGTGGAGACGGTGGCTCAAGGGGTCCCGAATAAGTTCACAAGCGACAAGACACTTTGCAGCAGGACCCGCCAAACGAAGAGGAATGGGGGCTGGAAGGATACGGAAACTGAGCCGCCTACGGACCACGTGATCAGAGGTGGCGGGGCCGAGAGCAAAAAGCACCTTCCCAACTGCACGGTTGTTTGGACAGTTCAGTCGTGCAACCCTAACCCTTCAGGAAACAAGGGGGTGTGCAATGGCCGCACCCCGTCTATGCCAACTGCTCAGACTTCCTGCGCCAAGGCGGCCGGGGGAGCCCACTCCATTTTCCCTTAGGACGCCCCGCCCGGTCCCCCCCCCGCCCGGTTCTCCCCTCCCGCCCCAGGCCGTGGGCACTAACCATGGACAGGTAGATGAAAGGAGGGGGTAGAGCTCCAGGTTGATCTGGCAGTTGATGGCCGCCTCCGAGTCCTGGTGGTAGTTCTGGTGCATCTGAGATGCGGACGCGGTGGTGGTCATGGCGGCGGCTGTGGTGTGAGGAGCTGGCGGAGGGCTATGCTCGGAGAGGCGGGCTCGGGAAGGCTGGGAGCCAGCGCCGGTTCCCACCAAGCACTGTTGAAGCAGAAAACCCCGGGCACAGTGGCCAGCACGGCGCCCCTCTTATAGCCGGAGTTCGCGTCAGGCCCACCGCGGCCAATCAGCAGCGCCAGCCGCCGGGCCGTCCCTCCGGTGGGCTCGGCCGGGGCGGCGGGGGTGTCCTGGGTGGGGCGGGCAATGCTCCTCTGATGGGGGGTGCGGGCTACGCTGAGGCCCTGCTGATCATCTGCGGGCCACCGGGGTGTCCCCGAGCCTCCAGGGCTTTGTAGTGGGGTGAGGGGGAAAAGACGCCCGGGGTTCCACCCCAGCCCCTCTCCCTCCAGTGCTCTCTGGTCCTCGCATCCCATGGGGACAGAGGGCGGAGTAAGGGGGTGAGTTTCAAGCCCGAAACTTAACTCCCCTGAGCCCTCCATCCAGGGTATTTTGTTAAGAATCATGACAAGGAAATGCGTCGCCATGCAAATTGGAAAATGGAAACAGTGGCGCTGTGGGTGGAGAGTGAGTTGGAAGTCGGGCTGGGAAAGGGCGCACTTTCTCTTCCCCAAAGTCTGTAGAAAGAGGCTTAGAGGAGAAGCACCTAAGGCCGGCTCCGGTCTGCACTGCCCTTCAGACTAGAAGTCATGGCCGTTTGCAGAAAGCAAACACGGCTCCCTGCGCAGTGATGAAACAAAGGCCCAGGGCGTGCTTCTTCAGATAGCGGGACTGCCTTCCATGGGGAATCCTGGGGCTGCGCCACCTGGGTTTCTGAGAAAGTCCCTGGTGGTCCTTAAAACTGAGATAGATCTCTGGGTTAGAAAGGAAAAACGACTTAGAGCTGGATGCAGATGCAGAGGCGGTTTCAAAATGGTTTCATCTTTCTTAGTAACCTTGGGCTTGTCCTTGGGGGAAAAGCTGCTGGGACTGAATGGCAGGTGACAGGTGCAGAAAACTTTGGAGGGGCAAGGCAACTGTATGTGGCTTGTAGCTGTGCCCCAGCCTCAAAATGGATGTGAATTCATAGGTGGCAGGATGGAGGTAAACCACTGCTTTGAGACAGACCCGCTGTCAGGTCTGTCCTCAGTCTAGTCTTGGTATAGGTAGAGACCCATCGAGAGCTCTTTCCTGATACTCATACCTTGAAGCTGGACTTCCTTTTTTTGTTTTAAGACAGGGTGGCCTTATAGTCTAGACTAGCCTGGAACTCACTATGTAGCCCTGGCTGGTTCTTTTGATTCTCTTGCCTCAATTTACCGAGTCCTGCAATTACAGGCCACATTTTCTTTTAAAAAGCAACTCTACTGAAATATTAATTGACTGGTGGGATTATGGTGTTTTCTCTTTCTCAGATCTTTATTCTTTTAAAAACAAACATGTACGTTGCTTTCAGGAAATAGATTCAGTGGTGCTGTGACTGAAATATACTGCTGAATTGTGTTTTGCCTGTTCTAGGATTAGAAGTTCAGGAAAGCCTTACTTAAGAGAGTGGCATTGAGCTGAATTTGATGAAAAAGCTTCTGTTGGATGGTAGAGGAAGGAGGTGGGGAAGGGAATTCTGAGCAGAGGGGACAGCATATGCAAAGATGTGGATGTTTGACCTGTTCAGGGAAGCTTAAAGAAATTATGTTGGCCAGGAAAATAAAATGCATGTTGGCGAGTTCTGGAAAGGGCAGAATATAGGGGCAAAGTCAGATTGGTGTTCTATAAAAAGTAGTTAAACTTTATCCTGCGGTAAATATGGAAATACTCTATTCATTTGTTTTTAGGAACTTTACCTTGAATCAGCAGAAAAACTATGAAGAGTTCAGTTATCACATGTGGGATGCAAAGCTTTTCTGTATAAGAGAAGTTTCTGGTCAGGAAATAGGATGAAAAAGAAGTGAGAAAGAAGAAGAAATGTTTTCACTTACATTGGCAACTTGTACTCAGAGTACCGAGTAATAAAATTAACAAGAAATTTGGGCAGAAAACAAGCTGGACTGGAGCCAGGCATGATGGTGCACCCCTTTAATCCCAGCTCTCAGGAGGCAGAGGCAGGCACATATCTGTGAGATCAAGGCCAGCCTGGTCTACATAGAGGGTTCCAGGCCATTCAAAGTTCCTCCGAGTCAGGCATCTCTGAAACGGAAGTACATCACACATAGGGGAGCTTCGGGTGACCTGTTCTGAAATCAGCTCCCAGGGGCCTGAGCCCATCCCAGGCTTTCTATACAGAGGACTCACCCACCTCTTGTTTGAGGCCTTTGACCTCAGCTTAGGAGTTTGTTAGCCTGAGTCAAACCCAGAAGTTTCCTGAGGGAAGGGCATCTCTCTGTTTTTTAGAAGTATGAATGATATTCTGTCCCCCTCTGAAGACCTCTCCCTCCTTTAAAATTCTCTGGAATCATCAGTTGGTACTAGGTAGCTTTAATTGCCCCCACACTCACCCATTCACCTAATTTTCCAATATTGTGGGTGTGCATGGTTGTATCAGTGAGTGAAGGAGCCCAATTTTTCTCCTTTCTTCTGGAATTGGTGATTTCTCCAGATCCATAGCTACTGCCTCTTCTAGATTCTAGACTTTTCTCTGGGGATCCGTTCCTCCCTTCTGCTGCTGCTGTGTGCTGGAATCAGAGCTGCTTACACCCCACACTCAGTGGCAGATGGTTTCTGTTGCTTGCCATAAAAATTCCAATCAATTTACCTTCTTTTTATTTTTTCTATGAGAAAGGTTCTCATGTAGCCCAAGATGGCCTTGAACTCTTGATCCTCCTGCCTCCACCTGGGATTATCTGTGTAAGCCAACACACCTATCCTAAGTGTCAACTAATCCTTCTTAGATGAAGACTGGAAGGAGCCTTTGAGACTAATTTAATACTTTTATGCAGTCGTTTAACATTTTGTTTTATTTATTTATTTTTGGAGACAATGGCTCAAGTATCCCCAGGTTGGCTTTGAACTTGCTATGTAGCTGAAAATCAAGTTGACCATATGATACCACACCAGTCTGTGTGGTACTGGGGATCCAACCTGGGTCTTTGTGTATTCTAGACAAGCACTCTGCTAAGTGAGCTACATTCCCAGCCCCTTAACTTATATAAGAAGGGTTTATTTTATTTTTATTATATCTCTGTGTGTGAGTATATGCAATGTTCGGGTGCCCAAGGAGACTAGAAGAGGACACTGGATCTCCTGGGGCCAGGGTTACAAGCCTGGAGCTGGAGTTGCACGCAGTTGTGAGCCACCCAATGTGGGTTCTGGTAACCAAACTCTGGCCATCTGCAAGAGCAGCAAGTGCTTTTAAGGGTTGAGCCATCACTCCTCTAGCCCCTCAACTAACATTTTAAAATGGCATTTTGTGCCCGACCTGATGGCATGGGCCTGTAATCCTAACTACCTGTGAAGCTGAGGCAGGAGAATCAAAAGTTCAAGATCTGCCTTGGCTATGGGGTGAATTCAAGGCCCAGCCTGGGTAACTTAGAGAGATCCTGCCTCACATTAGCAATGAAACATGAAAAGAGGACTGAGGTTGTAGCTCACCAGTGGAGTGCTTGCCTGGCATTGGGTAGGCCCTGAATTCAATACCTGGATGTATTCCCTTGGTTCCCGTGAGGGAGTTTACACGTGGTTATAAGGCATGTGTGTGGGGGTTTATGTGCCAGTCTTTGGTTTCCTGGCAAAAGCACAGGGGGTAAAGTTTGCAGAGGAAAGGAGAGAGGGGGCAAAAGGGGAGGTGAGAAAGAAGATTTGGGATAAATGTAGTATTTATGAGAAATTTAGCAATACTCACAGTACCACGCACCACGTTATATTTTGGTAAATGAAGGATGACTTGTGACAGCCCTGTATGATGATTCTAGTGAAGCCGAAGAATTCCTCTTATCTGGTGACATTTACTTATGTGTCTGTGGCGATGCCAGTATAAACAGACCGACCAGACTGGAGGTTGTCTAGAAGTGTGGTGCATACAGTTAAGCAGTGTGTCATACTTGCCAAGAAGTGTCTCTGTTACTGGTTTAGGCTATTTGCTTTGCGCTCTCTTACCAGTATTTTAGTCTACTCTTTCTACCTGAAAAACAAAAACCAACTTCACAGTAGAACAATATACCAGGTTATATGGGTGTGGCCACACCCACCTTGTGTTTACTGTGTCTCCTGATAGCATAAAGAGGCTGTGTTGGATGGTTGTCCTTCCCTGTCTAGGTGTAAGTGAAATCTGTGATATTTGAACAGCCATGAAATTGGCTAATGAGTCATTTATCACAATGCCTATGGCCATTAAGCTTCCCTCCCCATATCATGAATAAGCATTGGGCTGCTGTCAGGACCTCATCTAATACACATTCCTTGAGAATATTTTTTATAGCCACCTTGCCTGCCATACCTGCTTGTTGGCAGTATGCAGTGGACCTAGGCATCGATCACTCTGCTGGGACCTCTGGACCAGCAAGCAGCAATTAGCTACCACAAATGGAGCCCGAAAAAGCCCAACCAGAAGCCATGAGGGCAAATTCCAGATGCGCAGGGCATCTAGCTAGTCATCGGCCTGAGAGGGAAATGAGAGCTGGGAACAGGTCATTTGGAGAGTTGGTTGAAGTGCCTTGCCCTGTCCATGTGTTTATTTTGTGCTGTATCAGTGGGGCCCTTAGACCTCAGTTTTCATTTCTAACAGATTTCCAGGATTTATATGGTGGAGAGAACTGACTCCTGTAAGACTCCCCCCTACCCCCCATCCCCGCCCCAGCCCCGAAATCAGGGCCTGTGCTGCCTCATTCAGTCTCTGCTGAGATTTGCTTTCATGGGAAGGCAGGTATAGGCACAGGGAAGAGTGGCCCAGGTTGACTGGCTGGTTTTGGCTGTTCTCATGCAGGCTTCATCTGGGTCCAGGGTGAGGCTAGCACTGCCCATTCCGCCTACCCCCTTGCTGCTACCCAGGGCTGAAGATGAGGCTTGGCAGAAGTAGAGCTATGAGGAGATAGCCTAACCTTCTATCTGTCTTCCTCTTTCTATAGCTTCCTGCAAGGCTGACTGTGTGGTGAGAGGTACCCTCCTGCCTCTGTCCCTTTAAACACCTTCATCAATAAGGAGCTGACACTTCTCTGTTGACTGTGTCAGGCAGATGGGGCACTCTCCACCCAACAGAGGTTTTTCTGGGGCAGTAGGATCCACACCT